CCCCACATGGCTTAAGCTTCTTTATGACTATTTCGATGCTCCTGGTTTGCTTGTTTCAGCTCTTCTCCGGTGTGTGAGCCAGTTATTTTTAAGGCATTATTGATGCTGTCTCTTCTCACTCCTCTATATATTCACACACACACTTATTAATTTATTTTAAGAGACAGCCCTCTCAAATTTTTGCTGCTACTGTCACATTTCCAGCTGACTCAGCTTGCTTGTCAAGCTATGACAGCCTTCACAATTAAAGGATGCAATAAACAGAGCTCAGTCCGATGGCAAATTACTTTTAATACACCTAAGCAGACAGGTATCTATTATTCAAAGTCCTGAAAACTGACCAGGAACAAGGCCACCCAAGGCTTTTGGATAATGGAAGCTCTGTAAAAGTGATCAAGAACACCATTCTACTTCTCCACATGAACTCTCTCTTTTGGATGTTTCCACAAAAATTAAAAAAAAAAAAAAAATTAAGTTACTAGTTTCTGAAAGCATTTTCTATACAACTATTACCTTGTCAACATGATGGCTGCAATCATGCTTCACTATGAAAGGCTCTCCATATCCATTTTTAAGCTTAAAGTTCTCAATTTCTTGTACTTACCATAAAGTCATTTATATAAGTTTACACACATGTGCATTACTATAAGATACTTTTTAAGATGTACAATTACCTAAACGCTACAAAGTGTTAATTACCTCTTTGCTTCTGCTCCGGCTTCTGTGTTTTCTTCCTTCAGTATCTGGAGAAGAAAACATTTACTGTCATTTACCAAGATAAAGAGGAGATTACCTGGCTATAATCTTTCTAGCCCCTTTCAATTATTCCATCCCTTAAAGTCAAGATTTAAAAAACAACAGCACTATATGAATATTTACTGCAGAAAGCAATCTCTGGCCTTAGTCCCAGTGCTTCGCATTTATTTAAGCTCTGGCAGTGAAAAACTAACCCACGTCACCCTCCAATCATGTTCTTCTGCCAGATAACCTTATTCTTGTTACAACTATGCAAAAGTATCCCAGTCTATGCTTATCTAAAAAAATGAAACAAAATGAGACAGTTTCCTGTTTGGTGCAGTGTGACCATATCCCCCCTCCCTGATCCCCTCAATACAGATAAGACCCTTTTCTTCAACAGTTTCAATATTTAAGATACACCCCAACGGTCAGTAGATCAATTTTTCCCCAATTCTAACAAGTTACTAGGGCTGTCTATTTTTCCCAAAATTGCTTCTGAGAGAATTCAGCTCCACAAGCAATTTGCTCCCATCGAGTCCATACCTGACTTCCGCCTTCTTTCCCTTGACCGCGAGCGTGATCTCGAATAATGATGCTTTGATGTTCTGGGAGAACTGGAGGCATCTGATTGTTCCTTTTTCTTCTCTCTTTCTGGAGAGGATTTTTCTGGGACTACCCCATCTCGTTCTGTATCACTACCCTACAAACGAGGACAGAATTATTCAGAAACAGAAGCTTAGGACTGAAAAGCAAGAAAAAAAACAATTTACCTCATGCTTCCTCTGAAGATATAGCTGATTTTTTTTTTGTTGTTAAGCCAATGCTGTATTCACCCTTAGGTAATAGTTTTATAGACTTGCAGTGAACTGTGTAACTGAAAATGATTTTTCAACATTTTAATAAAGAGAACTGGTGTAAAGTTCACACTTTGCTCTCTTACTACATTAAACTGTACTTTTTCCATGTACTTCTGAGAGTTTCAGTAACACTGAACTCTGAGGCGGTTTTCTCTAAATGGTGTTTGTAGGTCAATTGCTTTTTAGCATTTCCATGACCAGGTTTACTTAAGGTCAATGCTGTCCCAACAGACCTGAGTGACCGTTTGGGCATTACTGAAGCACAACACAGAATTCCCAAAGTTCTGAAGCACAGAATGAACTTTGAAGGAAAATGCAGGAAGGTGCACTGTGTTAGGGTTAGACAGTTCACTCTGCAATGAAGAAACACCTCAACAGCAACTCTGCAAAAAGATTTATTTGTAGGAGACCACACACAGGTCACTTACACCTGTTCCAAGATCACATTTTTACCAGACAATGAAAACCAAGATGTTCCCTCCACTCCCTGATCTAAGAGGATTAAATCCAAAAACTGGTTTTGTAAAATCAAGATACTCTGTGACACAATATGTGAGAGGTAAATGAGTACGACTGATGTACAATGCACTGAAAGGAACAGAGTATAAAAAGCACACACTGAGAAGGTGAATGTGCTCTCAGTAATGATTTTAGAGCTTCACTGCTTCTATCTCCATAATCAAACCTTCTGGTCAACGTGGGGCTGCAGAAAATGTCACTAAGGACATTATTTGGCCCAGAATTACTATTCAGAAAGACAATTTAATGCAGCAGAGGACTTGAATTTGTCGTTTTCCACCAGCTGCAAGTGGCAGAATGGTTTCCCAACTGAACAAAACAGGAAAACCTCTCAAATGCTCACTTTATATCCATTGCTTTGAAAACAAAGCAGCTACTTTGTCTTAAACCACAAGAGACATTATAAATTGTCACTAATATACTGTGGACTAATAGCAGACTTTCTTCATGACACACTACAGGTAAATATCTGGATTTCTATTTCAGCTACTACAGTTTACATTTTGAAGTTACTTGAGAAGAATGAGAATACCATCTACGAGTGTAAATCAGGTGGCATTTAAAACACACTATCCAAGTGAAACTGAGCCCACTGCCACAATTCCCAAGGCTACCAATCTCATTATTTACACAGTGCTGCTCATTAGTGTCCTTGTGCTCTGCACCTGAGGGAAATCTCTGCCCTACAGAAAAAAACAGCAATTAAAAACCTGACAGAATTCACTGAGATTGTTCTCAGTTCTCACACTGGCACCAGGCTCAGCCTTACCTTGAATAAGGCCCTCACCTACAATTTATAGAAACTTCTAAATATAGTAGTAGTATTTTTAATCTAAGTGCAAAACCAAAGTACATAATTAAAGTCCTTTTACAGAAAAATGTACCTTACTCTTAACGGTGTAAGCTATAACAAAAAACAAAGAAAATTATTAAAAAATAATTAATTTTCTCCAGAAGTTTAAAGTCCACTTGGCTCTGTTTAACCACTGATCAAACTTTAAAGACAAGAACTTGAACTACCAGATTAGACACCGAAAAATCCTTAAAGTCAGCTTTAGAAAGTTTTATCACTTTCCAGCCCTGCTTGTTTGTTGGTTTTGCGATTTTTTTGCACTCAAAAACGATTTAACAACTTTTGAAAAAATCAACCACATCAAGTTAACTCTTTGATAACTCTGATTCTTTAACACAACCAGAAGCTAAATATCTTTGTACGTTACCAGATCACAAATTTTTTTTCAGAGACAATAAATCCACTTAGGCCCTGTTTGAACATGAGGGGCCAGTGGTAACTACAGCAGAGGCGTTTCCCATCGATATTAACCACAAAAAGCAGGATGGGAGCGAATTAAAAAAAAATACAAAAACAAACAAAAAACAACATGTGACAAAACACAAAGAAAACGGGCGAAGAAAATGAGAGAAACGGAAATTTAGCATGGCACAGACACCAGGTCGCTCCCCTCACAGGGAAGCTTCGCCCCACACTCCCTATGAGAAACGCCAATACGACCACAGCGCTTCTCCCCAAAGCCATGGATCCACCAGAGCTCAGTCCCACGGAATCTTCTCCTCTCCCCAAGCCCCGAGGAATGAAACAGAAACTTCTGGAGCCGGGGATTGAAGCGGTGGGCGCAGCGCGGCCGCCCCTCCCCGAGCCCATCATGGCGCCGCAGCCCAAGGCGCGGCGGGCGCCATTTTGTGCCTCCGCGCACACGGCTCCCGGCCGGGCCCTCCCCGCCTCTGCCCCCCACAGCCCCTTCCCCGCCACCCTGGCCCCAAAACCCGGCAGCGACCGCCGCTCACCGCCATGACCGAGCGCCCGGGCCGCCGCCCCTCAGCAACGTCCTCGCAGGGCTCGACCTCCCTCGGCTGCGCGGCCAGAGCGATCGCGCGGCCCCGCCCGCCCTCACTGCGGGTGCCCGGATGTGGCGCCGGGGGGAGCGCGGGGGAGCGCGGGGCGTTGTGGGCCGCGGAGGCGCCTTCGCCTTCGCCGAGGTTTGGCCGCAGCCGCGACCCGTGGTGCTCCCGCCAAATTGAAATCCGGGAGCGCTGAGGGGGCGCGGTGAGAGGAGTCGGAGGTCCCTGAGGGCTCGGGAGTGTCACCGGTGAGGGGGCCGGAGGTCCCCGAGGGCACGGGAGTGTCACCCATGAAGGGATCTGCGGTCCCCGAGGGCACGGGAGTGTCACCCATGAAGGGATCTGGGGTCTCCGAGGGCACGGGAGTGTCACCCATGAAGGGATCTG